AACCGTCGCCATGGTTCTGGACCGCACTTCGGGTCTATACTACACGCTGGAAGACGGCGGCACAAGCAAAACGAGCTCAACATACGGTTAACCCTAGGGCTCAAAATGGCCCTAAAAACCTCATAAAATATGGTCTTTAGGCCCAAAAGCCTTAAAATATGAGTCCTTAGAGCCTTAGGCCCTATAGATCCCTTTAAAGGACCCCTTATAGATCCCCTTTAAAGGAGTCCTTAAAGCCTTATAGGGTAAGGGTTCAAGGTTGGGGATCGTGGGTCTGGGCTTGGGGGACTCAGGTTAAGGGGTCCGGGTTTACAAAGGGTTTCGTGCTGCAGAATAACATGGGTAGTTGTCAAAATCAGGGTCCCTTTTGGGGTACCCTAAATATTAGGTGCCGTACGATATTAGGGAGCCAAAAAAGAAACGTAATTTTGACAACCACCCGCATAGGCACCCTAGACACTCGATTATTCTCCGCAGCACAGCCGCCGGGGTTGTTGTTGGAGCGGGGGGATTGGCAAGGGTCGGGTTTATGGTGCTCGCATGGCCATGAACCCCAAACGCGTATTTGATGTCGAGTTTAGTTCCGAAACACCTTCCAAAATTCCTGGCTTAAGGAATATGTATACCTTAATTCGCATTAGGGATCCTACTATGATATAAAGTAGATTCCTTAATGAACGGATTCTGCGAAATGTAAACCTGGAATCTCGAGAGCCATGAACCCAAGACCCTAGACCTACAACCTCAAAATCCTGAAAGCTTGGACTAGAAAGCAGTGTTACTGTAGTATAGGGGGCCTGATGCCCTAGACCTTAAACCCTACTGTTGATGATATATAAATCCTGCATTACCTTAAGGACCCCAAACTACGGGAATTATGGTATATTCCTTACTATAGGCAATGCAGGATAGATATATATATATATATATATATATATCATCATCATCATCAACCGTAGCAGCCCCAACCCTAAACTTGTAATGTACTCCAAAACCCGACTTGAGCTATGAAGGCGCCAGTATCAGGGAGGCTCCGGGGACTTCGCCAGTCGACTACACTTGGATGAACCCAACCCTCGGACTGTCATCCGACTTTTTTCATTACTTACAGGATCATGGGACTTAGTAAGTAGGTTATAATTGGGGCTATAATAAGTCCCCTAAGTGGGGTTATCCTAATTATAACCTACTTATAACCTTACTTACTAAGTCCCATGAGCCTTTAAGTAAGACCAAAAACGTTTAAAGGGCCCTCTGGAGACCTGATACTTCCATAAAGGACCCGGGACCCTGTCGAGATTCTTCAACGTAGTACCTTGTTGGGTTGGCTTTGCATCTTATTATAGGATGCCAAGCATAAATTCAGTTAATTGGAAGGGTCCAGGTAAACCCCCAAATCCTACACCCTCAACCCCACCTAAACCCCCAAACCCCTAACCCCCTAAACCATAAACCCCAAACCCCTAAACCCTAAACCCCCAAGTCCTAAACCCTAACCCCTAAACCCCAAACCCCTAAAGCCTAAACCCCAAAATCCTACACCCTAAACCAAGGTTGTTCGGATGGATGGGACTCAAGGCTTTCGAAATGCCGTCGACTTGAGGGTCGAGGGTGGGTAGGGCTTATAGGGATTAGGGTCTAGGGTGCAGGGCTTAGGGGTTAGGGGTTTAGGGTTGTAGGATTATAGGATTCTAGGGCAGGGCTTAAGGCTTAGGGTTAAGGGTTTAGGGGTTTAGGGTTATAGGATTATAGGGTTTAGGGGCTAGGGTGTAGGGTTTATGTTTTTTGGGTTTGGTAGGGTGCAGGGTCTAAAGGGGAAAGAGGGTTTAGGATTCAGGGCTTGTAAGGGTTCAGGAATGCTGCCCTGCAGCCTTGATAATTACGAATGCTTGAGTTACAGCACTGCGAATAGCATAAACTGGGCTTTTAAGTAACCAGGGAGAAAAAAGTACAACTTTTTATTTCATAAGCGTTCCTTTAAGAAAAAAGCATTAAAGTATGTTACTTCAACGCCCAGTAAACCTTACATCAGGAACCCGATCTCTCAAGCTGCACAGCTTTTCTCCCTTCCTTGAGAAGGTGTGCCATGCCGTGGGGTCGACCTTCGGCCCAGGCTACGTGACAAATCTGCCTAAAATCCTGATCTTGAGCCCCCCAAACTCCTAAACACAAAACCCCAAACCCCGACCTGAGCCTGGAAAGATAAAACTGTTCATTTAATATGCCAATTCTTACTACTATTCTTACTACTATTCTTACTGCTATTCTTACTAATTACTATTCTTACTACTATTCTTACTACTATTCTTACTACTATTCTTATTACTATTCTTGCTGCTATTCCTATTACTATTACTATTCTTAACAATGTTACCACCCCGGAACAACAGAGTCGGAATGCGCGAAGCTCTCAGCCCTCGGCCTCTTAAACCCTAAACAAGACCTAGGAGTTTCCGAAAATAGGGGACCCCAATCTAGCACCCTAAATAGTAGGATCCTTAATATAAGGACCCCAGGATACCCTAAATAGTAGGATCCTTATTATAAGGACCCCAAACTGAGGGGAAACTCCCGCCTAGACACTGGGTTTGTAAGTAGGTATTAGAGCCTCCTACCCCCCTTACTTCGAAGATCATAGGACTTAGTAAGTAAGGTTATAAGTACCCTCATTGGGGTTATAAGTAATTATAAGTATAGTTACCTTATTTATATCCCCAGTTACTAAGTCCCATGATCCTTTAAGTACCCCCCCTAAGTCCCTATTATCATTCTCAATCCTCCACTCTTAACCTGAACTGCGTGTATTCGTTTTACGACCTAGACACTACCTAAGGCCAAAAGCAGCAACCTTTGATTCTCATAAGACCGTAGAGGTCGAGGATTTACTGTAGGGTCAGAGCCCAAAAACATGGTGAAAGGTCACATACTCGGCTGCTCGGTGATCCCCCGGCTATGTGAAGCATGCCCTCCTCTTTGAGGAGAAGCTCAAATTCCTGCCCTCGAGCACTTTCAATTGCTGCAGCTTCTCATCAGGGCAAGGGGCTTGTAATAGAGCTTATAGGGTTCAGGATTCAGGGCGTAGGGGTTAAGGGTAAACTTCAGGTTCTGGGGACTGGGTTCAGAAGTCCGACTTCGTATACCAAGCTGGGACCCCCACACACGGTCGAGTCATCTTTGGGCCCGAAACCCTGCACTTTACTCCTAGCGACAACTACCGCCTTTGCAAGTTGCTAGCTCCTAGCTTGTTTCGGGACTGAGGAAGATTGCATACGATTTGGAATTGCTGATCACGTGCGCACGCGAAGCAATGCAGAGGAATCATGTCGCAAAACAAACACAAGATGTCCATGCAAAGAATCCAACATTTTAAAACCCTCAACGGCACTAAACCCCTTGCGAACATGAAACAGTTGTTAGGGCTATTTAGGGCTTGGGGTGTAGCGGTTCACAGCTTGGGCTTGGGGCTTCAGCGTTTGTACCAGTATGGGGTTTAGTTTAAACAGAGTTTGGGGTTTTCGGGTAAATGGACTTTGGGCTGTTTCTGTTGTACAGGGTTTTTAGGGCTTCGATCGTGGCTCGACGCAGAACGCGCACTGCGCCCTTCACATGTGCAAGGCCAAGCACACCCTGCCTGCAGCAGCACGGATCCAATTTCCCATCAAGATGGTCGTTCCTGCAATATCCCGAACCCCAAACCACCCTGAAACCACAGACCCAAATCCTCAACACTAAATCCCAAAGCTCTGAAACTCTCAACCTAAGGCCACTCTATGAAGCCCTACAGAAGCCAATCACATAAAAGCCTGAGAAAGCCTCATGGAGTCCTAGGCCTCACGCATCCTAAACCCTATCCCCTTAAGCCTTAAGCATAGAGCAGTAACTGAATCTGAAGCTAAACCCTACACCCCCTAATCCCTCCCTAAACAGTAAACCCCCTGAGCCCTCCCTAAACCCTAAACCCTAAATCCCCCGGTAAACCCTCCCTAAACCCCAAACCCTAAACCCCCTAAACCCTAAACCGGCATGCCAAGAGTTGCAGCCCGAAAGGATGCACCCAAAGAGCTGATCTAGGAGTTAAAGGACCCTATAATCTACCTATAGTCTCCATTGTAGTTCCTTTTTTTGGTTATCCAATTTTATGGTTAGGACCCTATAGTAGAGATTTTGGTTAACAAAAACAGGAACTACAATGGAGACTATAGGTAGTACCCTCACTAGTAGGATCCTGGTTTATATGGGAATTCTGTTACTCGTTTTTTCTTTTTTTTGAGGGCCCTTGTCCAACTGCAGTACAGCTAGCATTCCTTACCAGCAGGAGCTAGTGTGTTGGGGCCTCTGTTGGACACAGCATAAGTCCTCTGTTGCTCGGTTTAGGGTTCAGGGTTTAAGGTTTAGGGCCCATATAGAGACGGAACATACTTGAATATTGAATAGTATATGTGAGTTCCCGAAAATAGGGGACCCTAATCTAGTACCGTAAATGGTAGGATCCTTTTTGTAAGGACCCCGAAATGAGTTGCCCCTAATTTTCGGAAGCTACCGTATGGTTTTGGGAGTTCTGTCCTTCGTCGTTGTCTGGCCCAGGGTTTCGCAGTGCTCTTGTTTGGGTTTAAAGTAAAAGCCAGAAAGTTGGAATATGATTCACAAGGTATCCTACCCTGAAACCATATTCCAACTTTCTGGAGTTCCCTTTAAGCTTCAGGGGTTTAGGGTATAGGGTTTAGGGTTTGGGTCTCGACTTTGAGAGGTTACAGCACCCCTGCTATCCAGAGCGAGACCAGGATCACCAGAACACTTGGCTTTCCCCGGGCGGTTTAAGTGTTGTAGGGCGTGTAGCGGTGTTGAAACTGTTGAAGCAGTGAGCCGCAACGCGAGCATCATCAGCAACACTCTCCGATCTCGTGGCCTTTGAATCCCCAGCAGGAGCAGTTCCAATGCTTGGATGGATTCCGTGAGCCGCAACGCGAGCATCATCAGCATCAGTTGGAGATCCTTTAAACCTATGGGACGGATTCAGCGAATCGCGACGCGAGCATCATCAGCATCAGCTGCACTTCCTTTCCACCTCTCTCTCCGATCTCCTGGAATTGGACTTCCTTTCCACCTCTTTCTCCGATCTCCTGGCCTTGGAATCCACAAGCAGGTGCAGCATGAGTGAGCCACAACACGAGCATCATCAGCTTCAGCTGGATGTCCTTGCCACCTCTGTCCGATGGCCGATGAACCCTCAGCAGGTAAAGGAGGCCAGGTGATTGGACGGACTCAGCGCCCGCAACGCGAGAATCATCGGCATCACCTGGATTTCCTTTCCACCCCTCTCTCTGATTTCCGCCCCCTGCAGGCAGCAGGTCGACCCACGCGCAATGCGAGCATCATCAGCATCAGCTGGATTCCCTTTCCGCCTTTCTCTCCGATCTCCTTGCCTTTGGGCCCCGGAAGGGTGCAAGAGTTCGACCCAATGATTGGATTGATTCAGTGAGCCGCATCGCGAGCATCATCAGCAACAGCGGGATTTCCTTTCCACCCTTCTCTCCGACCTCCTGTCCTTTGAAGCAGGTTCCGCTGTTCGACACAACAGCGAGCCACAACGTGAGCAGCATCAGTTTGATTCTCTTTCCTCCTCTCTCTCTGATCTCCTAGCCTTTGAACCCCCAACAAGTGAAGTCCGACCCAATGATGGGACGGTTTCAGAGACCCCACTGGAAACCGAAATAACGAAAGCCCCTCTACACCGAAATTAAGAACCCCATATCCCTAAACTCCCTACGCTCTATCAGACACCTTAGAAACGCTCGAGCTTTCAAGCACCTCTCCATAATCCCCTATATACCGACAGCTCCTAAACGCCGAGCACCTAAAAGCCGTAAAGACTATAGCCCGTAACCTCCGCCCACCACCCCCCCCTGCTCTCTATTAAAACCCAAATAGTAAGAGATCTTAAGGTAACTGTACGTATAAGTACTTATAACAGGCACCCCCAACCAAGGTACTTACTGCCCTAAACCTAAACCACTAAACCACTAAACCCTAGACCCTAAACCCCAAACCCTTACTTACTACGTCCCATGATCCCCCGAGTAGACCCTCAACCCTCTAGATCCCTTAACGGAGCCCGAATTATAGACCTCTTAAAGGAACCCTCATATACTCCTTATATAAGGAGCCCGCGCTATAGATCTCTTGAAGGAACCCTTACAAATTCCTCAAAGGAACACCCTTTGGCTCCCAAAAAGATCCTGGTTCTGCGTAGACCCGAAACTTATAACTCCAACTAAACCCGAAACCGCGTAGATCCCTTATAGAATCCTTTCGGGAGCATTTGATCTAAACCCTAAAATCCTAAAGCCTTATCTGGGCTTGTAAGCAACCAGGGAGAAAAAGTATTAACTTTTATTTCATAAGGGTTCCTTTAACATAAAAGTATTGAAGTACAGTATGGTACTTCAAAGCCCAGTAATAAGAGCCCCTGTGGTACCTTGGGAGAGTGTCTCCGCGCGAGCCGGTTGGCTCGGCCAAGAGGTGCTCCTGCCCACAGGGTCCAAAGTACCGATATAGTAGAACGTAGGGTTTCGATATTAGGAATGAGTACTATGATTTGGGGAAGTACTCCCCATAACAGTACATAGGACCCTTGGGGCGTAGAGGCCCTGATTTCTGGAGTAGGTCGTTCAGGGTTTACCTTAACCCGGAATAACCTGCCTCGTTAAGGACTTATAAAGGGAACTCCAGAAAGTTGGAATATGGATTAATGGTAGGATCCCCTATAATTTACCTTAAATTAAAGGGGCTACGATAATGATATTCCAACTTTCTGGCTTCTACTGTATAGGGAAACGGCAACGGAGATCACAGGATGACGTAATTGGGCTCACTCTCGTTCACTTGCAGAAGCGCACAGAACGCTGTTTCGCTCGACCGCAGTGGTCGGATCCTGATGCCGTGGCTCTCAAAGGAAGGAGTCTACAAGCTCCAAGAAAAGGGGCCCCTTTACCTCGAGAGGTAACGGCCCACATGACACATGATGCACATGATGCGGCTGATGCGGAATGTACAAGTTGCACCAGCCCCAAAAGAAAGACCAGACGCATCAAGTTGTGTCTTGCCACTTCGATCTCAAGTACTGATCAACACGACCAGTGGCCGTTCGGCCTTTCTTCTTATTCCGCTTAGCGGAAACAAAGTTGGGATCAAAGGCTATGCTCCATAGCCACGTCTTCAGAAATTTCAGTAGTCCAACTCTGCTATCAGCTCGTTTCTTTGTCATGGCATCGGCAAGGTCATAGTCGGAAGCCAACCAACGTAGTTCACATCGAACTCGCTTTAGATTGTCACGAAGTGCAAATGCTTGGAGAGCAGCACGCATGTTGGACAATCCAAGAAGCGGTGACTCATTCCGCTCCAATGCGTCGTAGCCGCCCTTCGAGTCCGTGCACAGTATGCCGCGTACTCGGGTCACCTGCTCTTCCTTGGTCTGCACAAGGTTAGACCGAAGTTCAGTGTCCCCTCCAGCTCCGTGCATCTCCGTCCACAGAAGACGAACTCTGAAGTTTTGATCTTCGGCCTCGTATACACTCTGGACTTCCGCGTCGTTGGAGCCCAGGGCCTTTCTTTGAAGTTTCCAAGTTCTCCATGACATGAGATTCATGGGGCAGACCTTTCCGTCGCCGGCTTCAGGGCCTGCGGCTAAGGTCAGAAGTCCTCCGGTGCTGTCACCTTTGGCCCTGTTGTTGTGCGCCTGGTCGCCCATGGAAATGAAGGTGATGTCTGACCAGTGCTTGGCAGTGGGAAACTTGAAAAATGACAGCTTAAAGGATTCCTGCCGAACTTCAGCAATCATGGCCTGGATCTCCCTGGCCGTCTGTAAGGTCCCAGATGCAACAGCTTCGGTAAGCAGCAGATTACATCTGCTGCACAGTTGCGGTTGGCTCTGCACCGCGAGCCACTGGAGAGCTCCCAGAGCCGTCCTGCACGCCGCCAGTTCTCGAGGAAGTAGAGGACCATCTTGTTGTAGTCGTTCGGCCTCGATGTCAATGTCTTCCAGGCCCTCGATGTAGTACTCCTGGTCGACAACGATGCGCTTGAAGCCGCTCTTGTCCACCACGGTCGCAATGTCAGTGCCGGCATGTCGATACCGGCCCACTTTTGCCGTCCCCCACTTGTAGGCCTCGTCAATGCGCTGGCGGATGTCCAGCCACTCCTGGCAGCTTTTATCACCAATGCGGTGAAAGTCGTCGACGTGGCCACCCATGGCGCCAATGACTCGCCGATGCGAGCCATCCCATTCCTTGTTGGAAAGCCATATCCAAAGGCATCGTTCACCCATGATGGCAATGGCGCCCAGGGCCGTCAGTTTCTGATGTAGGTCCAACCATAGGCCGCGTGGTGCGGTCGTCGACCCGTAGATATTCTTCATGATCTTCATAATGCCCTCTTCAGACACGCCGAGAGCTTGTCGAAGCTCCTCCACCCCAGAGGTGTAGAGGCCTTGATCAGCCTCGGTCGGCATTGTTTGAAGAAACGCCGTCGCCAGATCCAAGCCCTCTAAGTCCCACTGGTGGTGAGCTGCCATCAAGTACAGTAGGTTACGTCCCAGAGTGGATTGTACTGGCGAAGATGTCTTGAAGGACCTGTCCAGGAGATTCGGGTGCTGGAAGCCAAGCAACACAATCCTGGCCTTGGCCTTGCGTTGACCCTTGGAGTCATGAAGGGTGCTAGGATTCTCCTTCGCATCCTTCAGGGCCGCATCTTGATCTTCTGGTGGTACACCTTTCCACGTAAGGACCCACCTGGCGCGCATAATGCGCCCGCTGTCGTAGGCCTCACGGACTTCCCTGTCATCCATGCACTTTTGAACCGCCTCGTTCTGTATGAAGGAGTCCACCTCCTTCACCTTGGCTCGATGAAACAGCTTCCTCTCCTGATTGGTCAACTTCGCGATGTTGACTTCTGAATCCCTCATCTTCTTCACCAAGTAGGCCACAGGGTTGCGCTCAAGTCGTTTCTTTTGTCGATTGGATGTTGGGGGTTCCACATCAACCTCAATGCGGAGAAACTCCTCAACGTCTTCCATGGCAGTGTGTATGTCCAGGGATTTGTCCTCAGCCTGGGCATCGACATAGAGCTGATCCACCCAATCATCCACCTTGGCTCTCTTGGAATCCGGTTGGTCGTAATCATTGACTTCAGGAGAAGGATGTTCAGTAGGCATTGAAGTGGATGACGTCGCCGCGGGACCTTCATTGGCGGTTGTCGTTGTTGGTTCGGCTGCTGCTGGCTGTTTGCCTCGAACTCTGCGCGGTGGCCCTGCCGTAGTTGAAGCGTCTGGTTGTTCCGGAAGGTTGGGCATTTCAATCTCATCGGCGTCGGGCTCTTGATCGGTGATGTCCTGATATTCACGTCTAGGTAGAACATCTGCGAGGGTTCGCCAACGTGAAGGATCTTCCTCGCCGGAGGTCTCAAACTTGAACCGTTCCACTTCGTCCACGGGGCGAACGCTGTGAACAGAGCACCTCAGGAGTTGATGCCCAATGAGCACCCACACAACATGCTTCCGGTCGCCTTCATCAGACTGGTGGGGCAGCATCTCGTTGAAGATGACGCGTCCAGGACCCACCCAGTGAGGACGACCAGACTTTTTGAGGCCACCCCTGTTCCCAGAGTACTGCTCCTTTGGCCAAACCTTTCTCCATACCTTGACCAGAGTCATAGGTGGAAAGTCCCGTACAGGTTGTCGCACAATGGTATTGTTGAGCTTGGAAAGAACTCGTCGTGCTCGGGTGTGCCGAGCAATCTCCTCGGCCCTTTGCCTGGAAGCCACAATCTTGGCGTAGTCGTCCTTGGGATCACCGGTTGCAAACGACCGTAGGTCCTCATCGGTCGCACGGTGAGCTTTTCCAAAAGCCCATTGGTGTGCTGAGTAGCCCGCTGTGAACTCTGTCGCATTCAAGGCCGCCACGGTTAGCTGAAGAACAACTTCAGGAGGAAGTGCGGGGTCGTCTTGGCTGATAGCCGATGCGGTGTGCTTCACATCCTGGATGGCCGCCTCGATGATGCCATTAGCCCACGGTTCCTTCTCTGCCACATAGTGCGTCATGACGTTGATGTCTGAGAAGAACTCTCCCACAGCCGCCGAGACAAAGGACTTGGCACTGTCCATGATCACAACCTTCGGTTTGGGGTAGCATCCCAACCATCGCTCAGAGAAGGCCTTGATGAGGTCGCGCCCGGTTTCAGATCGCATTTCCAGGAAGTTGTACTCGAAGAGAGGCTGGACCACTCGTAGCTTAGTGGTCACATCAATGAACATGAGAAACTTCCACTTGATCCTCCTTCCTGGAGGTATCCACTCTCCAGAGTCCACCGCGACTGCCTCCCAAGCGCCGTACTGAAGGTGCGTGCTGATAGGTGGTACCTGTCCGGTCGAAATTCCTCCCGGTCGTAGGCTCGCACAGGCCGGACAGTAGTGTTGTCGTGCGACCTGAACCTTCCAAGCGGGGTGGTTGGCATCCTGAACAATCTTTGCAAGGTTGCGATTGGTGGGATGCCCGGCCGCCTTGTGGAACTTAGAGATTTGGGCCTCCCAAGAACGATATTCCTCCTTGGTGACGCCGTCAGGGAGTTGTGGTAGATCAGGTTCCAAGGCAGTCGTGGGTGTTGCCGGTCTCAGCTCCATCTCCGCGGGATTAGCAACCATGGTGGCATCAACAATCAATGGGAAGCCAAGTTGACGTAGAAGGCTGCGGTCATCATTTTGTAGTGATGGAGTCAACCGTGTGGTGTAGGCGGACACACTCAATCGCTGGCCTCGCCATGGTTCCGTCGCATGTAGTACATGAGGAGAAAACTGAAGTAGTTGATGACGAGATGGCCGGATGTGTCCACTCTGATACGTTCCATCTGGTAGTTGTCGCCTTTTTCGTTGGCCGGGTCCTTCACCAGCAATCCACAGTCCTCCGCCAGTGAAGTTGCCGGCGCAGGTGAGGATGTTGGTACTGTAACGTAGATTGTGGCTGTCCTTGTGAGGGATGGTGCCACTGTTGAGCCCAAGCAAGAGGCTCGACCATTGGTGTCCAGGTAGTTGATGTTGTAGGAAGGCGTTGACGTATTGAACGAGTTCTTTGTGACGGTATGTCACATTGGTGACTCCAGAGAAGGCTCCGTGTGAGTAGCCTCCGAGAAGAAGTCGAGCTCGAGTTCCCGAGGACCACCGATGCTGTTGACCCTCTTTGCGAGTCACCTTGGTGAGGACCTGTTCTAATATGCTTTCCAAGGCTTCAAAAGAGAAGTTCTTCATCAGCCGTGCTTCTCGAGCCATGTTTTCCGAAACCAATCGCTCAACTTCAGACATGGTGAAGTCATCATAAACATCATCTTCTTCACGACAAGCTGGCTCGCCATGTTCCGTAAGAGGATCTTCTGGAGTGGTCTCCGGTTCCGGTTCCTGTAGATCACACAGTGAAGGAAGATCATCAGCACGGGCTAGTAGTTGATGATGTCGCTGAGGAACAAGGCGATCGCACCAGTGGCGGGTGATCGCTTGAACCATCCGCCAGGGGTAGTAGGAGATGACGTCCTGCTGTCGGGAAAGATGGCAGTGGCGATGGTTTCCTGGACACACTTTGGCACGGAAGGCCTTGTGAAAGGAGAGGTGTCACGAGTGGGTTTTTTCGAACTCGAATCTTTGAGAGTTTGAACGTAGTACATGTTGGACGGGATTCGAGAGTTTGAAAGTTTGAAAAGTTTGGAGAATGAAGAGTTTGAAGTTTGAAAGTTTGAGAGTTTCGAGTTCGAAAGCTGGCGCGAGTTTGGAACTTGAAAATTTGAAACCCAGGGAATTTGAAAGTTTGAAGCCTCGAAGATTGAAAGTTCGAAAGTTTGAAAAGGAGAAGGACCGCTGGAGACGCGTAGGGGTTCACAGAGCAGCCCTCAGGCTCGAGTTCGAAAGTTTGAGAGCTTGGAGTTTGAAAGTTTGAAACCCAGGAAGTTTGAAAGTTCGAAAGCTTCGAAGACTGAAATATCGAAAATTTCAAACTTTGGGGGGTTGAAGGTTTGAAGTTTTCAAATTTCGAAAGTTTGAAAGTTTGAGAGCCGTGGAGTTCGAAAGTTTGAGATGCTCAAAGTTTGAGAGTTTGGGAGTTTGAAGGTTTGTAAGTTTGAAGAGTTTGAAGTTTGAATACATTGAAAGTTTGAGTTTGAAACCATGTTGACGTCCTCATCTTAGGGTCTGGGCCCGGTAACTCCGAGTCCGATTCAATAGCCCGGGACCCCCCCGGGCGAACGGGTAGTCCTGGATTTAGGAAGAGGATGAGGGGGGGGGGTGGGCCTGCAGTCCTGGATTTAGGAAGACTATGAAGGGGGGCGGTTGTTGTTCTGGATTTAGGAAGACCATGGGGGGGCGGGGGGGGGGGCGGCTTGGAGTCTTCGGCGAACCCCACCGCTCTGTTTAGACTGCAAACGCCCCGCTCTGCTAAGCCGCGAAAAAAATTAATGAAAGCGTCTCCCACTTCATACTTCACCAAAAACCAGGATTACGAGCCCCCCCAACCTCATACTTCGTCCAAATCCAAGACTTCGAGCCTCCCCCTTCCCCTTACAGTCTTCCTACAACCAAGATGTTAAGCCCCCCTTTCTCCAACACACGCAAAGGAGAAAGCAACACGAGAACGCTTCAGGGGGTTAAACGCGAAGAATTAAAATTCATCATGAGTGATTCAGAAGCTGTGCAAATGGAGGTGCTCTCTTAAGATCCCCCTCCCCTGATACGTCGTCCAAATCTAAGACGTCGAGGCGTCCCCTTACAGTCTCCCTGAATCCATGACTTTAAGCCCCACCTTTCTCCAGCACACACAAAGGAGAAAACAACACAAAAATGCTTCAGGGGGCTAAACGCGAAGATCAAAACTTAAGCATGAATGATTTGGAAGCTCTGCAAGGGGCTGCGCCCCCCCAACCCCCTTCTTGTTTTGGACTGCAAACTCCCTGCTCTGTTAAGCCGCAAAAAAATAAAAAAGTAACCCCTTCATACATCACCAAAAACCAGATTACGAGCCCCGCCCCCTCATACTTGGTTCAAATCCAAGACTCGAGCCCCCCCCAGTCTCCAACACACACAAGGGAGAAAGCACACGAAAACGCTTCAGGTGGATTAGAAGCGAAGAAGATATCATGAATCATGAGTGATTTTGAACCTCTGCAGATGAGGGGGGGGGGGGCTGCGCCCCCCAACCCCCCCTCGCTTATTTTAGACTGCAAGCGTACTTCACCCAAAACCCCCCTTCTTTCATGAATGATATGGAAGCTCTGCAAATGGGGGGGGGGGCTGCGCCCCCCCCCCCAACCCCCCGCTGTTTTTAGACTGCAAACTCCCCGCTCTCTTAAGCCGCGTTTTCTCCAACACACACAAACGAAAAAACAAAAAAAAAAACAGACGAAAACGCTTCAGGAGGGTTAAAAACGAAGAAAAGAGCATTATGATCATGAGTGATTTGGAAGGTGATTTGGAGGACTAGGTACTTCACCCAACCCCAGTGATTTGGAGGACTACTACTTCACCCAACCCCCTCTCTCATACTTCGCCCAGATCCAACACTACAAAGCCCCCCTATCATATTTCACCCATGAGCCCCTCGCCACCCCCCGACTAGTACCACTAGTCGCCGGGAAAAGTCTTCTCCAAGACACACAAAGGAGAAAGCCACACGAAAACGCATCAGGGGGGTTAAAAGCGAAAATAATATTCATGTTGGGTGGTTCGGAAGCTTTGCAAATGGAGGGGGAGGGGGGGGATGCGCTTTTAGACAGCAAACTCCCCTTTTTTTTTAAGCCGCGAAGAAATGAACCAAAACGTCCTTTGGGCGTGCTTGAGATATACCGTGAACTAGAATCGCCAAAAGAGAAGGCGTGTGTAAGATGTAAAATTAACCGAAAGCGCCAAATGAGTAAGCGTAATACGACAAATACGATGACCCGGAAAAGCTAAATGAGGGGTGTGCTTAAGATCGCCAACTCAAGGGGTGCGTTTAAGTTACACGGTGTGCTGGAATCGCCCAATGGGAGCGTAATAAAGATATGTGGTGAGGGGCTATGATGACCGGAATCGCAAAATGAGGGCGCAGTGAACCGGAATCGCCAACAGAGAAGGCGTGTTTGTTCCAGATACTTAATTGGGGTTGCGAACGCCACCCATATACGTGACCGCATGTCGAGCGCTTCAAACTCTGAAACTTTTCAAACTCGAACTTTCAATCTGTCAAACTCTCGAACTTTCAAGCTCGAAACTCGGCGGACTTTCAAACTTTCCATCTCTACGCACTTCAAACCTTCAAACTTTGCAAACTTTCAATCTTTCGAACTCTCAAACTCGCGAACGTTCATCCCTTTCAAACTTTCGATCTCTGAAACTTTCAAACCTTCGAACTTGAAACCTTTCGAAGTTTGAAACCTTCGAACTTTCAAACTCGTCACCTCAGCCCAAGCCGAAGAGGAAATCTGAAGCCAATCTGAAGCCAACCTTTCAAACTCCGAACTTTCGAACTTTCATTCTTTCGAACTTTCGAGCTTTCAAACTTTCGAACGTTCGAACTTTCAAAGTTTGAAACCGTCGAACCTTCGAATTTGCAAACTTTCAAAGTCTCAAACTCTCAAACTTCGAAGGCCGATCGAACTCGCCCGCGGGAAAAGTTTGAAGTTTGAGTTTCAAGCAGTCAGTCGAGCTCGAAAGTTCGAGAGTTCGAGAGTTTGAAAGTTTGAAAGTTTCGAGTTTGAAAAGTTCGAAGTTTGACGCCGGCTAGCTTGTGCACACCAAGGTGCACAAACTTTCGAACTCCTGCACTTTTCGAACCTTCAAACCTTTCAAAGTTTGAAACTTTCAAGCTTCAACCTCCAAACTTTCAAACTTTCAAACCTTCGAGTTCGAACGACCTCGCTCGGGACACCATTCTTGTGAAAGCCTTCATCGGTTGTCTTAATGGTCCACTTCTTTTGGATGAACGCAGACTCATCGGAGTTCTTCAAGCCGTAGTTGCAACCATCGACTCGGCAGGTGAGCCAGGGAATATGTTTGGAGTCCATGTAGTCGCTGAGATCGATCATGGGGTGTTGCTTCCAGCCATTGCTTGGATGAGGCCACTCATAGTAGATCTCGATATCCGGCGTCTCCTCCAAGGCCTCCTTGATGAAGCAATTCACATGCCACAACATTCGCCTTTCCTTTCGACGATCGGACTCCAGTCGTTCCTGTCGCTCCGCGCGGTTGTAGTCGATGTTGTTCCACGGACACCATTTGGAGTAGGGCAAGGAGAACCACACTCGCAAGGGACGATGTCGTTGTCGTAGAGATCGTAGTTGGTCCCAGGTAGCTGTCTTGTACAAATCGTAGCCCGTTTGCAGATTGATACTCCTGGGTCGGAGTCCGTGCTGCTCAGCGGCCTGGCTCAGCCAGTTATGTGGAGAGGCTGACACTTCCCAGAGTCCATCACGATCATGTAGATGTAGACCCATCAGCAGCGAGCTCGTCGCTGCTGTCATCATGGTCGCAAAGGCCATCACTCGCTTACCCATGGTGTTGGTGCACGGCCGCCAACTCTGATCTACCCTTGGTACTCCTGAGCGTAGGCTGCCGCCAGATCGTTGCCCTGATCGTCCTGCATCACAGTCCAACTGGTGGTTGATGCCGCTTCCGGGCTGCTCGTCTGGACGTAGCCCTGAGGATCCAGGGGAGTCGTTGGCGAAGGCACCGTCGTAGGAGTCGATGGAGTTGCCGTTGTCGTTGTCGTGGGATTGGCCGCGATGTGCTCCGTGATGGCGGTGCGCAAGACCTCCTCCGCATCGATCTTCCGCTGCATGTGGCGGCAAATGGTTGCCGTCGGCTTCCGGCCCTGCATAAGGGGCCGAAGTTCCTCCAACATCCTCTTGACCATGCCCGGGTTCTTCGTCTCCGTCGACTGAGCATGTGACCCCACTCTGGGTATGTACTGGAGCCTCAGGTCGCAGACGGCACAGTGGGTCCACTGGCCGTGTGCATTCGAAGCGGACCGATCGGGTAGATGTCGACCTTGACATGGCCAAGTCTCCTGAGAGGCACGGGGATCGCGGGTGTCCGCAGTGACGGCCCGCGCCGGGTCGAGCGGGCGAGCTTTCGCCTTTGCCTTCGCTTTCGGCGCTGTGGCGCCGTCCAACTGGAACAGCTGAGGGGTCGTCATCGCCGCCATCAAGCTGTGAACGCGAGGAAGAAGTAGTCGGGAGATTGGGGGCAGCAGTTGCCCTGCACATCTGAGCTGAAGAAGCTGCTGTGGGTGAACTGCGCTGTAGCTCAAGCGACCTTTGATGCAACTGCCAGATCCTATCACGTGATACGGCCAATTGTTCATCGGTGACATGGTCTGTGGCAGTCATGTCAAACCATGCAGTGGCGAGCTCAAGCGTGTGGTGCTCCAGGTAGGGCTGATTGTTCTGGGGTTTACTGTGAACTACAACATGAGCTTGCCCATCCAAGTTGGTACATCCTTGGGTGAGGTACTGCGCAATGTCCAAGACATAGTGGCCCTTCTTATTGGTTTCGAGGCTGTAGATTTGGGGCGAAGGGTCCTTGGAGTTCATGGCAAGTCCCGTCCCGAAGTCAATAATCATTCCCACACCCTGGGGTCCCAGAAAGTCCATGCCAACCAAGACGGGGACCAATGACGACTTGTCGAAATGACTAGAGTAGTACTCGGAGGGATTCGGTAGGGTGTACAATGAGAAACTTCGGAGGGAACCCGACACGCTAGATGACAAAGTGGTTCTTCCAAGGGCCTTGCTCCACTTCCCATTGCCAAACCTGAAGAAGGGACGAGCGTATTGCGCCAGTTCGATGCGTGCCGAGCGATCACACTGGAGAACCGTCTCTATGAGACTCTTCACAACAGCCTCGGGTGCCGCTGAGGCGGTTGCGCCGCTGTCGAGCATTCCTTTCCGCGGATCAGAGGAACTTGTCGTAGGCGAGGTAGTGGATTCCAGGGCTTCGGACACCTCGAGGCCACCTAAGAAGAGGTCACTGGAGTAGGCATTGACAGAGCGGGACGTAGGATCTTTGGTCTTGCCCTTGCCCTTGCCCTTTTTCCCCATTGCGTAGGATTCCATCCAGTAGCCCTTCTTTCCCTTCCCGGAAGAGTGACCTTTGTGCTTGCCCTTGCCGATGAAGTAATCCTCGATGTGCTGGTAGTAGCCCTTCTTCCCCTGACCCTTGGATCGACCCTTCCATGACTGTTGAGGACAATCACGAAGCAGGTGTGGGCCATTGCAGTTGTAGCAGCGAGGTCCAGAAGCCATGGAAGCATTGGCTCCGAACCCCCGGTCTCGACGCAAGGCCTGGGTGGCCTTCTGGGCCTCTGTCCACGATCGCCTTGCCTCAACTGCCAGTTGCTCCGCAATCTGCTCCGCCTGCTGGGCCTCGCGAAGCTTCTCATCGTCAGGAGGAGGTTCAGCAGAAGTCGCCTGGTAGGCGAGGTCCTCCTGAGCGTCCCAGCCATTCCAGCTGGAGTAGTCGTCCCAGTCGGCAAGGTAGGCTTGCTCGTCCCACCAATCAGCTTCGTTGTCCCACCAGTCATCAGCGGGATAGTCCTGGTAGAAGAGGTCGGGGTCCTCGATGTTGGACGCCATGGCCTGGTAGGACTGATGGTGCCGGTGTCGCTGTCCTAGCAGTTGTTCGTCCCAGAGGCCTTGAAGAGCCTGGGATACGGTCTCATAGTCGAGGCTGTTTCGCGTAGAAGAAAGTATATCACGAACTTCTTCTGCACTCAGCCCCGCAGCTTGCAACAACCGCCAGCCACGTAACACGCTCATAATGAAGGAATCCGCAACAGACAGCTCATCGATGGGTCGAGGCGCTGCTTGTCCCAGCGAAGGTGCCTGAACTCTGCTGCCAGTCTCTACTCGCTCATCGCCAGCCGCTGTTTCCCTGTGACTGGGAGACGAACCAGTAGCGCCGCGATGAGGTAGCCGTGAATCGTCAGGAACGGGAGATTCAGGGCCTTCGCCTTGTGCCTCACGCTCGCCTTGCGGTGAATCAGGGTCGCCGGGGGGACCATCTCGCTGGTCCTCATCATTCTCATTCTCGCCATACCACCACCAGCTGCCGTCCTGCCATTCTGCATCTTCCCAAGACTCAACAGGGGGCAATCCGAAATCCCTGTCGGCTTGGCTAACCCCAAGCTTCTCTTCATGAAGCCTGATCAAGGCTTCTGTGAACTCTTCATGCACCAAAGTCTCGCGCACCAGGAAGTTTCCCATGGTTTCACCTGGTGAACGTTTGAAGCTGAAGTACTGCTGACAGATCGCGGCGGCATTCGGAAGCGTCCTCCTCACCAGTGGCGAAGTTGCCAACTGTTGGAGAAAGCGAAGAGTGCCGTCCTCTGCGTCAAAAGGTGCCCGGCTCCACGACATGGCCAACAGTCTTGCTGGCCCTGTGAGCCGGCTCATGAGCTTCGACGCACAGTAGCGCCGTTTGTAGGTGGGTGTGGCCTGCACGAACCACGCCACCTCCCGCGTGTATCTTCTCCAGCCGCGGGCTGCACCGTCCCACGATGGTACATGGCCGCCGGCCTCCTTGCTGTCCGCCATGAAGAAAAACTCGAGAACGAAGTCAAACTCAAAAGAAAAGAGAAGAGGCAGTGCCGCTTCACGGAACCACCTGGAGAAAGCCTGTCAGAGCACTTGACAGGTGAGCTGTGCGCGAGTCGGGCTGACGCTGCCAGTCAGCTAAGATCACAGAAGAGCACAGATCAACGGCAGCTGGCACCCTGGAGCAGAACTCTGCTCCGCTACCAATGCAACGGAGATCACAGGATGACGTAATTGGGCTCACTCTCGTTCACTTGCAGAAGCGCACAGAACGCTGTTTCGCTCGACCGCAGTGGTCGGATCCTGATGCCGTGGCTCTCAAAGGAAGGAGTCTACAAGCTCCAAGAAAAGGGGCCCCTTTACCTCGAGAGGTAACGGCCCACATGACACATGATGCACATGATGCGGCTGATGCGGAATGTACAAGTTGCAGAAACCATAACAAGGAGCTCTAAAAGGCGATGCTATTCGGGATGATTGTAGGGCTCCTTTGAAAGGGCCCCGGAGGGTTCCTACAAGGCTTTAGTGCGTAGCCTTGATACTTAGAATGGGGTTTTGTGGCTCCTGTATAGTACTTAAAGGGGTCCTCAAAGGGATCTATAAGGGTTCCTTAAAGAGATCTCCAGGGTGTAGGGTTTAGGGTTTACTTAAAGGATCATGGGACTTAGTAACTGGGGTTATAAATGAGGTAACTATACTTATAATTACTTATAACCCCAATTAAGGTACTTATAACCTTACTTACTAAGTCCCATGATCCTCCAAGTATAGCAATTAACAAGGAACTCCAAAGACTGTTACAACTTCAACTCGGGTTTTTGGAGCTTGGGATTTAGGGTGTCAGGGTTTAATGGAGGAACCTGATTAAGGAACCCTGGGCCTATTAACCCCATAACAGTGGAGTTCATATACGGAACCCTGATAAAGGCTCAAGGTTTCTTAATCAGGTTCCTACAGCAAACCCCCAAAACTCCATATGATACCCTTATAGTGTCCGTTTCAAAGGGACCCTCATGGAACCCTACTAAAGGCCCAAGGTTTCTTAATCAGGTTTCTACATTAGAGATTCATGGTTGGTTTAGGATTGAGGGTTCAGGGCTTGGCCGGTTTAGGGTCTATGCCCGTAGGCTCCATAGTAGTTTCCTTTTTGGGGATTACCTTCTAGGACTCCGAAATAGGAACCCCGAAGAGGAACCACTATGGAGCTGTAGGGTAAGTCTGTAGCTTATAGTGAGTGGCCACTGGTTGATTATCGAAGTTCTCCGGGTATGATTCCTGATTATATTTTAAAGTTTGGGGGGTCGGGGCTAGTTTGGGGTTTGGCAAAGGCTTCAGGTTCAGGGTTAGGATTCATAAATGCTGATCCTTGAAAATGGCCACGGTTTAAGGTTGGGTTGGGTTTAGGGTTATATAAGGGTTTAAGGGTTTTAGGGCTTGGGATCTGGGCACATAAAGTTCAGTTCGCGCACTTACGCACCCGTTCATGCCAACTTTCTAACAAACTCCCGAAACCATACAACTAGGCTGTTCAGTAACCCACGGGGAAAAAGTATATACTTTTTTAGGCTTCTTATTTTATAATAGGAACCCAGAAACCTGAAAGTAAAAAAGTGTACCACTGAACAGCCGAGACAACCTAGAACCTCAACTCCTCACCCAAACTCTGCAACCTAAATCCTCGATTCCTGAACCTTAAACAGGAGTTCCCCGAAATAGGGGATCCAAATATAGCACCCGAAAATAGTAGGATCCTTATTATAAGGACTCCCAAATAAGGTACCCCTAATTTCGGAAAAACTCCCAACTCTCTGCAACCCAAAGTTTCACCTCCTACGACAGAGCCTCTTCAATTCAGGGGTATCGTGTTTAACGGGCCGCATAGTAAGGAACCTCCTATTTGTGTAGTGCCGGTCTATGATATTTGTGTGGGAGCCTTCTAACAACGAGTCCTTAAAGTCTGAGGCACTGCGAGTTGGGGGCTGGAGCCATCGTCGATCATTTTTCGCGCACAAGGCGCATGCAATGGAGCACCGCATTTTGCGGTCCTTCGGATTAGCTGCCCTAGATTCCCAAAACCTTTTGGTTTAGTGTGGCAACCTCAATAGACGGTCAAGCTCTATACTCATATCCTAAATGTCACAAGCTAAATCCCGATGTATCTAGCCCTGACCCTAAGACCCAAACCGAACCCTAAACCCTAAACCCATAGGACTCTCTTAAACCGGCCCTCTCAGCCAGCTCGTGGGTGCCGTCCCGTCGGCTGTTTGCCGTGGACGGAGACCACGACTCACATGGGAGTTTCCGAAAATACAGGACCCTAAATAGAGTACCCTAAATTGTAGGATCAGGATCCCAAAATAAGGTGCCCCCTAAATTTGGGAAACTCCCACATCTTTCACAGATCTGGGAGAGGTTCGAAGCTTTCGGAAGTATATAATCAGGCTAAACCTGCAGTCTCGTATAGTTTCCCGCTTGGGGAGGGTTTGCCAGTTATCTTGTTAGGATCCTTAAGACCAAGAGGGTCCATATACAAGACCATTATGCAATTAGGTCCCCAAAACCATAATTAATAGGGATGGTCTTTCTGTACCTAGTTCCATATTGGTATTGGTGATTATTAAGGCCTCTATAATATATTACCCTTATAGATCCATTATAGTAACCCTTATAGACCCCTTTAAAGGAACCCCAAGCTCCATAGTAGGATCCTCAAGGCAGGAGGGAAGCAAACAGCAACGACAACGTGGAGTCTGCTGCACCCGAGACTTTGAGGCCTCAGTCGAACATCCTCTCTTAGGGTTTAGGGGTTTAAGGTTTAGGGCTGAGGGCTTAGAATCTACTTGTCGAGTATCCCGAAGAACTAAAAGGTTAACCGTTGGGAGTAGCATGGGATTCTGTGGGGATTACAGGACACCGAAAACCAAAGGCTACCTACTCTAGTACTAGGATACTGTTGATGATAAATCCTGCATCACCAATAGTAAGGAATATACCATATTTCATATAGTTTAGGGTCCTGAAGGTAATGCAGGATTTATGTCATCAACCGTAGGATGAAAAGCAGCTCCTTGCCTTGCTATCGCTTATATGGGAGATCACTGGTAAATCCTGAATTGAAAACTCTGGAAGAGACGACCGTAAACACTGCAGGCAGTGGAACTCTTGTAGAACCCCAAAAAAACCCGTGGTCACATGTAGGGCTTAGGGTGTAAGGGCTTCCCGTGGCGAACATGGGGACAGTCAAACTTGCGGTACGGCTTTTGGCTAAAATGTAGTAATTGCTAGTGGGCACGAGGCGATACTACGGTTGATGATAAAAATCTGCATTACCCATACCCAGAGGCTCCATATATAGTACCATTATGGAATTAGGCTTTGGGGACCTAATTCCATAATAGCACCATATTTGGAGCCTCTAGGATAATAAGGAATATACTATAATTCCCATAGTTCAGGGACCTTAAGGTCATGCAAGATGTATATCATGAACCCTAAACCCTAAACCCTATAATTAGATCCCTTAAGGAACCCCTTGAAGGTACCCTTATAGATCCCTTTATAAGAACCTCCTTATACCATCAAGACTAGTTCTTTCGACCCCTATCGTAACTCCAACCTGCTCCCATGGATCAGATTGCCAAAGGGTCCATTCTATCTCCGAGCATTCGGTGGTATCGTTTATAGGGTGAAGGAGTACCTTAAGGACGAAAAGAACCATAAAATGGGTTTGGGGTTCATATTCCTTACTAGGATTCATAGTATATGGGCATAGGGCCCCTGCTTTTAAGGGTCATGTGGTCCTAAACGTACTGTCTGCGTCCATGGATGGTGGTGCTTCCTCATATACCATTATAATGTAGTAAGATTCGATAGACTGATAAGATATACCATAGTATACCCTGGTATACATACTACAATGCGTCAGTTAGGGTACGGCCACCAGGTCTTGTTGCGTATAAACCCTTGCATCTGCCTAAGCCTGCAGTAACTGCAAGAACTGCTAGAGCTTCTAGAGGATTTCAATCAGCATGTGGATGTCCTGAAAGCTTATCCGGAGTTTTATGCAATTTAGCGCTACAACGCCTTCTGTGCACCCTTGGACTACCTTCTGAAGCAGCAAGAAATCTATGGACCCTTCGGGTTTAAGAAATGATCTATCGGACCGGACGTGGGCTTCGCTGCGCTTGCAAAGCTGTCGACGTCCGAGGTCCGGTATGTGATTGTCGCAATCGTCGTGGGATCCAAGTGCGGACTTCGGCTTCATGGTTTAGGGTTTACACCCAGAAGCGTGAAGTAAATGCGGCAACCGAATTTCCGTGAGACGAGAGACAGACTCCGACCTTGCTGGACCCGAGAAAAAACCCATGCTTTGTATGGCTGTCATCACATCCCTATACTTGGAGGCCCTTTTGACTTAGTAAGTAGGGTTAGCAAGGTGGGTTATGGGGCTGCTAATAGGGTTTGTAGGGGATACTAAGTAGACTTACTAAGTCAAAAGGGCCTCCAAGTAGGGCCCTATAGCAGTCTACGGTTTAGGAACTTTGGGCTTCAGGGTGCAGGTTTAGACCGGTTTGGTGCTTCGTCTATATTTGCTTGTCTATGTTTTGGGCGTAGGGTTATGGGTGTCCGTACTGTTTGCTCAGGTGATTAAAGCATATGTAAAGGTTGTAGTATGTGTAAGTTTAACTGTTTAGACATATCACCAATGCTATCCGTTCCTTTTCGCCTTGCAATCCTAGACAATGCACGCTGCAATCCGAAGCATCCTGCCTCCAAGACCCTGACAAACAGGGCCTTAATACTAAGGTTTCGGGATGTAATGCAACCCAAAACCCAAAACCCAAAACCCTAAACCCTAAGTATATGCTGATTTACGGGAGGCCTCAACTTAAACCGTCGAGACTGGCCTGAGACAGCCTCAGGCCGCTGTGGTACGTAGGGTTTAGTGCAGATCCTTGGTACAAGAAACTACCTATCTCCACGGGTCCGAATATCGGGAT